ATACCACTGACGTAGTTCACCCGCACAATTCCGGAGAATTTCAGCGAACAACTCCTGAGTTGGACAATGTCATTTTTAGATCCGACTGAGACTAATTTATGCGGACATCTTCACGCTGTTTTGTTTTAATTACGTCAAGAGTGTGGACGCACTCAAGCGTCGCTGAAACGACGAAACAAACTGGACGCTTGAGTCAATATCTCACGCACCTATTAGATTGCATTCTTGCGATTATACCGGGAATGTTGATTTTTCCGCGGTGCGCAAATTGCGGAAATTCACAATTCTAGACAGTATGGATGAGATGATGCTGGTGTTGATGAAACTATTTCTTACTAGTCATCCGTACTCGAGAAAAATGTTCTGTAATTTCTGAAGAATACAGGTGGTAGTATACGTGACCACAGTTTTAATGGGGTCCTCACGGTTCGTCACCAAAAGGTACCACACGTCAAAAGTTGCTGTATAAAATTGCAGACGTGACACGCTTTCAATTTCAATTGATGGTGGAACACATTGTTTCGTTACAGGTGATACATGTGAAAACGGATTCGTCACCAACGCCACATCAAGTCCATCAGGTATGAAAATTCTCCATGAAACAGGTTCTTTACGTTTACGTGAAATATACTAATAAGTAAACATAAAACAGTTTGAAGTTTATAACAGACTTTCTTATACGAAGCTACAATAAACTGGGGCTTCAAATATGTCTGTTATCGATTGGCAGTCGGAGAGGACCAGCTTTCATGTTGGCTCCGAGTGCAAGTACACGTGACTGTGTGTGTGTACTTTGACTGGGATATGCCTCCGTTCGTTGCCATGCCGGCTGCAATGCGTCGTTGTTGAAATCCCTAATCGAACTTCCGGAAGGACCATATAGAATTAACGCCACTGGAAATATACTTCAGGATTATGATAGTAAGACATTCCTTCGTGTCGATATTACTTTGTATGGGCTAAAGACTTCCGCTCAATCTGCGGTCACCGTATTCCCCGTGCAGAATGTCCTGTCAAAAACATGGGCCAATCAGTCTCCGCTTGTAAATCGTGGAACGTGACACGTAAGATTTAATTCACAGAATCCAATGAAGGTCAAGAAACACTTGAGCGCGACTCAGCCTCGTTCCTACACGAACTTGGGTCAAGATCACATTCTATGACACATGTATACTCCAATCAGGATCAAAGCTACACATGGAACGGAGTGCGCTGAAAACACGAAATAGCAAAACGCAACCGAATTGCGATGTCTATTTGGACAGGAAATAGCGTACATCAGGGAAGGTATAGCTATCAGAGTTCAGCAGGGCTTTCGACAACGGCACGGGTGCACAGCCCAGTCACACTACACACACAGTCACGTATACTCGCACGCAGAGCCAACACACACTTATACCAGCTGGTCACATGTGAATACCAACTGACCTCAGGAACGCACCAATAAGGGAACGTGGTAATATGCACAAATAATTGATTGTGCA